GCTAATGAGGACCTACTGTATTGCACAGGGCACTGTGCTCAGAGTTCCGTGGTGACCTGAAGGGGAAGGGAACCCAAAACAGAGGGGATATATGTGTACGTACAGCTGATTCACTTTGCCGTACAGCAGAAACTGACACAGCAGTGTAAAGGAACTATACTTCAATAAAAAAAAATATATATATCAGTAGGAACTGTGAAATTTTTGCAATAGGTGTATGAAAATTTGAAACATCAAGATTATTTTAGTCATAGCACAAAGCTCCTACTTTCCACAGTCCCAATTTACACAGAAATCCCATACTTTACCTCTCCCCCAAGAGCTAATACATTTTTAATCCTAAACTTTATATAGGTTTGCAGTAACCTACTCCTGAGAAAGTTCTGGTGGCTTGCAATTCATATCCACGAGGAACAGATGCTGTTGGCATATACTTCCTTCCCAAGGTTGATATGCAGTGAGGAGAATTGGTTTTTATAGTGCTTTGAGTTCGTAGTTGGATATGGAATATTGTTTAATGGATGAAAGCTTTTTGTTTTTTCAAATTGAAGGCTAATTGCTTTACAGTATTTTGTGGTTTTCTGTCAAACATCAGCAAGTATCAGCCATAGGTACACCCATGCGCCCTCCCTCCCAAACCTCCTTCCCACCTCCCTCCCCATGCCTCCCTTCCAGGTTGTCACAGAGCCCCTGTTTGAGTTCCCTGAGTCACATAGCAAGTTCCCATTGGCTGTCTGTCTTACATATGGTTTGTGCATTTCCGTGTTGCTCTCTCCACACATCTCACCCTCCCCGTTGGCCACTACCCCCTAGATACCGATTTTTTTTCATTTATTTTTATTAGTTGGAGGCTAATTACTTTACATCATTGCAGTGGTTTTTGTCATACATTGAAATGAATCAGCCATGGATTTACATGTGTTCCCCATCCCGGTCCCCCCTCCCACCTCCCTCTCCACCCGATCCCTCTGGGTCTTCCCAGTGCACCAGGCCCGAGCGCTCGTCTCATGCAGCCCAATTCTCAGCCTTTTGGCTAAGATCAAGTGTAGATATGGATTTTTAATGTATATCCTCAGTGTTTGTAATGTGTCATTTCAGGACACAAGAAAATAGAAATAAAAATTTATTGCACTTATATTTTTCCAGAACTAATTCTTTCCCATTTATTAAGCATATATGTTGTCTGGAAAGGAGAACATCTTCCACCCTATCCACAATTTACTCTGTTTATATTTTCTGTGATTATGGCCATGGATATATTAGGACTTATTTTTACCATCTTATTTTTGTCTTTTGTTTCTTCAATGGTAGTTCTTTGTTCTTTGCTTTGTTCTCTCGATCTCTTCCTGATTTTTAATTAAACTAATTGTGTTCTTCTTTCAAATGGAGAAACTTAAGCAAGGGTATATCCAATAAAACCAATTTTCAGGGGGGAAAAAAGACTAGAAATAGAAAAAATAAAGTTAAAACTAGGTCACAGAAAAATCTAGATTCTTATCAGTGAAAAGCTCTATGCTTTTGATAATGGATGTTATGATACAAAATATCCTTTTAAAGCTTTCACTTGATATTCTTGGTGTTGGTTTCCACCAGCAAGTGAGAATCTTAAATTCTTTAACTATAACATATGAGGAACTATTTGGTTTTTTTGTTGTACTAATGGGCAGTTCCTTCTTGGTATGATAAACTGTTCTGTCCAATGTGGAAACCAGTAGGCCCATGTGGCTACTTAAGACGACAGAGGATGAGATGGCTGGATGGCATCACCAGCTTGATGGACAAAAGTTTGAGTAAACTCCGGGAGTTGGTGATGGACAGGGAGGCCTGGCGTGCTGCGGTTCATGGGGTCACAGAGAGTCGGACACGACTGAGCGACTGAACTGAACTGAATCAGACTAATTACATTTAAATTCATATTTAAAATCTAATTGCACTGGCCACATCTCAGGCATCCAGCAGCACCATTTGGTTAGTCAGTACTATTCTGGACAGTGCAGATTATGGAACATGGCTGTCATTGTAGAAAGTTCTATTGGACAGGCAGTGATAAGCCTATAGTGGTACTACAGTTTCATATGCCTTACAGCAGAACTGTTTGAGAGAATGCATCGAGTTACAGAATTCAGAACTGACAGTCCACTGCTGCATTCTGTAACTGTAATTCTTTCATTATCTTCTGCTCCTATGGTGAATAGTGACCATCATAGGGAGTGATGCTCACTATGGAGGTTATTGGGGGCCTCTGCTCTGCACATAAACTCCAGACTTGGTGCCCACAGGGCATCAGAAATGGTTTATATGGAATAACAGCTTAAGGAGTGGCAGCGATAGAGGCTGAGATGCTAACATCTGTAGAGCAGTGGGGATCTTGACTTTCTGAATGGTATGAGGAAGCCAAGAAAAGCAGGGGCATTTCCAGTTGAAGCTAGGTTGCCAAGGGTTGGACATGGCCTGGTTCATAGTATTTAAATTCCTTTGAAGCTCTGACTTCTCCACCTTGTTCGACTGGTTTAGGTCTCATCTGAATCAACTGGTTAGGAGGTCTGTCCTGAGCCTGTTGGATCACTGGTATGCATGACTGATGGCAGCAGGTTGGAACTGATTCAGGATGTCATTGACAGGGAACACCCAGGGCAGCCACCATCTGCCCTTGTATATCCTAGCAAGTGAGATTCTCTTATGCCTCATAAGCCAGCCAATATATACACCAACATACATGTGCTCATTCATTGCAGGAACAGCTTTGCCTCTTTGAGGGAGGAGAAGCTGAGAAGACCAAGCTCTTGGTTCTCTCTTAACTCCAGCATTATTTGGACACTGGTTGTATCCAAGAAGAGACAATTTCTCCCTTTTTGTTGTCACTGGTGTCATTAGGCTCTTATTCACTTGACTGGGATTAATTCTTTCATGTTTTAGTTGCTTCAAATTTGTTTTTATCCTGACTTGTGCCCAACTTCTGTGTAGAAAGTGACAAACATGATTTTCTCCCACGAATTTCTTTGTAGTTCATTTCTTCCACATGTTGTTGGTACTGTCGAGTTTTTTGCAGCTCCCACAATCAGCCTCTGAATTTTCCACTGGTATCTGTGATCACCTTGATGCTTTAGCATTGTGCCAAATAAAATTAAAGTTTTCCTTCAGGATATCATCATCAATATCTTCTCCAGTTTTAACTTTGTATTAGGTGCTGTGGTAAATATGAGAATGCAAGGCACACAATAGAGTGACAGCTTTGCCCTTACGAAATCGCCTGGCAGATAATCAAGCTACAGTTAAGTCACTTGACTCTGTGGATCACAACAAACTGTGGAAAATTCTTCAAGAGATGGGAATACCAGGGCACTTTACCTGCCTCTTGAGAAATCTGTATGCAGGTCAGGAAGCAACAGTTAGAACTGGACATGGAACAACAGTTCAGTTCCAAATAGGAAAAGGAGTACCTCAAGGCTGCATATTGTCACTCTGCTTATTTAACTTATATGCAGAGTACTTCATGCAAAATGCCGGGCTGGATGAAGCACAACCTGGAATCAAGATTGCAGGGAGAAATATCAACAACCTCAGATATGCAGATAACACTACACTTATGGCAGGATGTGAAGAACTAAAGAGCCTCTTGATGAAAGTGAAAGAGGAGAGTGGAAAAAGCTGGCTTAAAACTCAACATTCAGAATACTAAGATCACGGCATCTGGTCCCATCACTTCATGGCAAATAGATGGGGAATCAATGGAAACAGTGAGAGACTTTATTTTTTGGGACTTGAAAAATCACTGCAGACGGTGCCTGCAGCCATGAAATTAAAGGATGCTCGCTCCTTGGAAGAAAAATTATGAACAACCTAGAAAGCATATTAAAAAGCAGAGACATTATTTTGCCAACAAAGGTCTGTCTAGTCAAAGCTATGGTTTTCCCAGTAGTCATGTATGGATATGAGAGTTGGACTATCAAGAAAACTGAGTGCCGAAAAATTGATGCTTTTGAACTGTGGTGTTGGAGAAGACTCTTGAGAGTCCCTTGGACAGCAAGGAGATCCAACCAGTCCATCCTAAAGGAAATCAGTCCTGAATATTCATTGGAAGGAGTGATGCTGAAGCTCCAATACTTTGGCCAGCTAATAGAAGAACTGACTCATTTGAAAAGACCCTGATGCTGGGAAAGGTTGAAAGCAGGAGAAGGGGACGACAGAGGATGAGATGGTTGGATGGCATCACCAACTCGATGAACCTGAGTTTGAGCAAGCTCAGGGAGTTGGTGATGGATAGGAAAGCCTGGCTTGCTGCTGTCCAAGGGGTCGCAAAGGGTCGGACACGACTGAGCGACTGAACTGAACTGAATGAACGAAAAAGTATATTCTGCGTTTGCATTTCTTTGACTTTATGATTGTTTAAATCTGACATATGAAAATGTACCATTTCAAAAGTTCTGAAAAACCTACCAATACTTGCATGACTGAGGATGAATTTTTATTTTATTTTTTAAAGAACAATTGTGCAAATCCCCAATCGGCTATATAATGGAGTTGAAGGGAGCTGCTCGCGTAAAACTTTGTGGAGCAGGAAAAGAGGGCGTGAGAACACGCTGGTATTTCCCCAGGAGCTTGCGGGTACGCCCAGGTTGCGCACTGGTTCCCGCACACACCGCTCTACCCCGGCGTCTGCGTGGTGGAGGCGTGGCGCCACGGGCGCAGCGAGCGTGGCTCCGCCCCGGGCGCGCGGCTCCAAACTACTGCTCCCAGAAGGCTGTGCGAGTCCGAGAGGGAAGCGGCGGCGGCGGCCGCCGCAGGAAGGGCGAGAGCGCCGTCTTCGTCGGCGGGTGTCTCCTCAGTCGTCGGACCGACAGCCTCCGGACGGAGGACGCGGCCCGAGCTTCCCCCCCAGCCCAGGGAGTTAGTCCGGGCGAGCCGGCACCACCGCCCGCGGGACGGGCGCGGGGCGGGATGTAGGGCTCCGAGCGCGGAGGCCGCGGGCGGGCTGGGGGAGCGCGGAGGGCGCGCCGAGGATGGAGAGAGCGATGGAGCAGCTCAATCGCCTGACGCGCTCGCTGCGCCGCGCGCGCACCGTGGAGCTGCCCGATGGTGAGCGGGCCGCGGGGCTGGGGCCGCCGGGGGCGGGGCTCGGGGAGCTGCGGGGTTGGGGGAAACTAACGGAAAGCTGAACAAACGCCCACGTCTACTTTTCCTTGGCAGGGAGGGGCCGGTCTGGGACCCCTGGCCACCTCTCGGCCGCCACTCCCGCCCCGGGCAGGTGGAGTTTGTGGGAGGGGCCCGGGCCGTGCGCGTCCTGCCGCTGGAAGAAGCAGGACTTGAAGGAAGTCTCTCCAGACTATCGGTTAGGGGTTTCGGAGAAGGAGCAGAAATATCACCCGGATGGCGGAGACCCGGATTCAGAAGACAGCATAGTTGTTGGCCTTTTTCCATTCGCTGCCTGGAAGTGCTGGAGAGGTGGGGTAGAGAGATCCCAACCCCCAACCCAAGTAGGGTCGTTTACTTTAAGGTGCTGAGGGTAATTAAGCGGTCTTTTGTTTTTCAACGTGTAGAGCACCATTTTGTTTTTACAATAAGCAGATAAATAAAAGGATGTCAAATATCAAACGTGTACTTGAAGTGCTTGTATGTTTACATGTGTACACTTTAATATGCATATCCACTTCATCATTTACTCATCAGACAGGTTGGGGCTGCGGTGCTTCTACAAAGGAGTAGGCATGATCTTTGTAGTTAAGTAATTTTTAGTTAAGTGTGTAAGAGTTCCTTCAGGATAGGTAGCACACAAGTAATAAAAGGTGAGAAAGCCGTTTTGTTTGCAGCCTCATGATCGGTTTAGTGGTAGTGTGTGAGAGCCGTGCTGCCTCTGAGAGGTTTTTGATTGTGTACTCGAAACAGAGAGAAAAGGGTGGCAATTATGGCTGGTGATTTGTTTTTCTTTTTAGTGCATTGTATTAGTTTATATCCGCCCCCGCCCCCGCCAGGAAACTTTCTTTGAATTGCTGCTGGAGCAGTGATTTTTAAGTTAGGGAAGGAGACCTTGGCACAGAGTCATCAGAGAAATGTGGACTGGGGCCCTAGGGATGATTTCCCTGAAAAGATTTTCCCTTGTTTCTACCTAAGATTCAGAACAGCAAAATTTGAGTCGACTGTTTCTGAAAAATAAGTTTGTACTTGGAACTTTGCTAGTATAAAGTAACAGACTGAAAATAATCCCGATGTTAGGAACAAGACTTTTGCCTTCAGCTTACTCTTTCTCTGTTTTGTTTCCACTTTGAGTCCATTTTTTAAGTGCTTACTAATTTCTCACAGATTTTTTGGTGTCTGCTGCTGCGTGTGTAGTTTCATTGACAGCAGTTTGTATTGCTCAGCTTAAGTCTCCATTTTTTTTTTTTTAATAACATAAATGTGACCTAGAATACTTGGATAATATTTCCTGGTTTTAAAGGTAGTATGTTTTCATTGTAGAAAATCTTGAAAGCAAGAAAAATCTATTATTTCTCACCCAGTAATAAACAATGCCTAGTATTTTCTTGAGTTCTTTCTATTATTATTTCTTTCTATACCAAATTAAGATCATACTGCATATAGTCTTTTGTTCTGCTTTTAGAAAGCATAATGCTTTTTTTATCTTTAAACATGCTTAATGATTTTTTAGGCTTTCATATGATAATATGTAACAAACATTGAGTCTAATTTTTTTATAATAGATTTTATGAGGAACAGCTTTGATTTTTAAATCTTAGTCTGCCTTTATAATTATTTCCTTAGGATTATTATATAGAAGAATATAGATCTAATACCAACACTTTAAAGACTAAGTATCAACTTCTCAAGTTTCTCTCTGGAACAGAGGTTCCACTGACAGTCTGAGAGTCCCTCGACACTAGAGTAATGAAAAATAAAACTTCTCTGCATGTTGCTTACATTTGTTTTTCTTTGATTATAATGAGTTTGCTCATCTTGTTTTAAAATTGTTCATCAATTTTATCCCCAAATTCTGATGAATCTTTTTGAATTCTTTGAGATTGGCTCTTTCAAGTGCGCTCGGGCAGGCATGCGTGCATGTGTGTGTATGTGTTACATCCAGATTGTTGTGCTTGCATTTTAAGGGCTGAACAGAATTTCTGAGACCTATCTAAATTTAGGAAATAATCAAGTATTTATCTTGCCTTGTTAGAATTCAGTTATTAATCATTTAATTGGAATAAATTATTAAGGTTGTCATTTTTAATCAGACTTCACTCTGAAGTTAACTTTGTTGCATAGGATTAAACTGCAGATATTTACTGAATTGGATACTGGGAGGACATATTTATGTTCACTTGAGATGATGAAAACCTGAATATTCCCACAAAGTAATGGAGTGCAGGTATTAGGCAGGGCTAACAGGAATCTCGTGAGATAGGAAGTAAGGGGAAACAATGATTTTAGGGATATAGATTCTCAGTGCACTTCAAAAAGTTGGTTTATATTGTTCATTTATGTGGGAAAAAAAATCTTAAAATACTGCATTTGCAATGAATGTAGTTTGTTTAATAAGATAATAGAACTTGAGCCCATTGGAGTATATGCTTGAATGATGATTATGATAATTAGCAATTAAAATAAGTTATCTTCCATTTTATGGTTTGAGGAGAAAATTGAATATAGCATAGTGAATCTGAGCTTTCTGTTCTTTGAGGTTTTCCTTTAAATAGTTTTCTGAAACTATTAATAAAAATGGCCAGCCAATGTATTTTAATAAAGTGAGAGAAAGTTCAGTCTTACCACTCTTAAATGAGAGAAAGTTTAATCTTATCACTCTGAACTTTCATTATATACCTAATTCTCAGGATTTCTTTATGAGTGTGGAGAAGGAAGCACCTGACAGCAAATTTTATTCAGTATTTTCTTAGTATTTGCTGGAGCGTCTCCTAGCATCACAGTTGTGGTTCTATTTGTGTCTTCATACCTTTTAGTGTATGTGAGCTATATTTTTAAAATAAGGTTAGGTGTGACTTAAAAATAAGATCTATATATAAATTTTATCTAAATAAACACTGTAAATAAACCCATGTGAACTTATGATGTTCACTTAAAATTGTGTACTATCTTGTTACAGAAGTTTAAATTCACAAATAAGGGTATTTCCTGTTTATGACTTTATCATGGAGTGACTTAATTGAAACTGTCTTGATTTTTGGGGGCAAGTGTTTTAGAAGAGAGAGAGAGTGCTGTCATGCTGAGGGAGGCTTAGTCCAGTGTTTTTTCAACTCCTATTGGTGATAGGGAATGAGAATGATTTAGTGATTGCAGTTAGCATTTTGAAAAAATCGAAATAGAAGAGAATAAAACAGACTGTATTGTACGTGTCAAGAATAAGTACTCTGTTGTCGACCTTTTGGTTATTTATATGTAGTGTATACTGTGTACCCTGTAGAATTTTTACAGTGGGGGCTTTGGTATCAGCCGGCTTTGAATCCCAGTTGAGGCACTTAACGCCACCATCACATACTTATTGCTTCACTAGTGCTTCAGTTTTCTAATTTGCAAAATGGGGATAATACTCTTGCCTACTTCATAATGTGCCTGTGAGGGTAAACGAGATGATGCATTTGTATGTGAAGTGTTTAGAACAGTGCCTTGAAGATAATGGTTTAAAACATGTTGGCTGCTAGTTATTAATAGGATTCCTTGGTTATTAACTTTATTTTTATAGTGAAAGAACTGTTGCATTTGCACACTGGACTTGTGAAATTTACTGGGACTAAATTGTTCTTCATGTTCATACTCAAAAATAGTTAAAATAGTGAACAAAAATGTGCAGAAATGGTAACTTCTGTTCTATAAATACTTCAAGATATATTTCTAAATATGTTTTTTCAAGCATAATCACAATACCATTATTAGAGCCAACACAACAGTAATTTTTAATTCTCATCAAATACCCAGTTCATCATATTCAGTTTTCTCCTCTCAAAAATATACAGTTGGTTTGTTTGAATCAGTATCCGGTCATAGTCCACACCTTAATTACATTTGGTTGACTCATCTCTTAGGGATCTTTTAGTAACTTTTCCTTTTTTTTTTTTTTAAACTTTCCATGTTTAAGTAATTGAGGCTTACAGAAAAGTTGCATAAATACTACTCAGTTCTTGTATACCCTTCAACCAGCTTCCCCTCATGTTCACATCTTATACAACCAAAGTACAATGATTAAAACTAAGGAGTTAATATTGGTGTATTGCTATGAGCATTTAAGATGTTTATTAGAGATATTTATTAGAGACATTACAGACGTTTATTAGAATGTAAGTTTTCCTACTAATGCCTTTTTTTATATTTTAGGATCCAATCCAGGATACCATATTGCATTTAGTTGTCATGTTTCCTTAGCCTCCCTTGAACTGTGATAATTCTAATTTTTCTTTGTCTTTCATGGTCTTGAGACTTTTTTAAGAGGGCTGATCAGGTATTTTGTGGAATTCCCCCTAATTTGGATTTGTCTAATGTTTTCCCATGAGTAGATTAACGTTAAAGATTTTTGGCAAGAGTATTGTGAAAGTGATATGCTCTTAGTGGAAACTCAAGCACTGTGAAATATTAATATGTATTATTTCTGGTGATGTTACCCTTTTTGAGTTGATTAAGGTGATATCTGCTGGGTTCTCCACTGTAAATTCACTATTTTTCCTTTGTAATTAGTATTTGGGGGAGATGCTTTGATATGCAAATACTCTTTTTTTCAGACTTTAACTCATTCATTTTAGCAGCGCTGTTAACTTTTTAAGGACTAAATGGGATGTATCAGGGTTATTCATTGTAAATAGCTTATTAAAAAACATGAAGCTCTAAAATGCATTGAATTGAGGAATGACTACTGCTGCTGCAGCTAAGTCACTTCAGTCGTGTCCGACTTTGTGCGACCCCATAAACGGCAGCCCACCAGGCTCCCCCGTCCCTGGGATTCTCCAGGCAAGAACACGGGAGTGGGTTGCCATTTCCTTCTCCAGCACATGAAAGTGAAAAGTGAAAGTGAAGTCGCTCAGTCGTGTCCAACTCTTAGTGACCTCATGGACTGCAGCCTACTAGTAATATATAAAAGTAAATGCAAACACTGGCTGAAATTTACATAAGTATTGCATGAGATCATAGGTGTAACTGACTTTTAACTTCTTTTGAATTATTTCTGTGAATTCTATAAAAAATGAAAACATAAATTAAGTGATAAGTAAAGGTAAGACTTGAATGCTTTTATAAAAACTTCTAAAAATTTCTTATGTTACAGTATTGACATGAAGCAACTATTATGAACTATTATGTATATTTAATGTTTTAAATTTATTTTAGCATGTATATCTTTGATATTCATATATACTTCAAATTCCTCCAAAATCCTAGTAGGTATGGTGAAATATTCTACATTTTTGCAAATAGTAGGTGTAATACTTCTGGCGTTTTGCACTGTTCATAATTAACTTCCACCTCTTCTCCTAGTGTTTTATTTAGAGTTAAGAAAACTTTAAAATAGTCGTTAAGTATCACCCTTTGGAAGAAACAGGAGATAAATTAATTCTTTTTTCTGTTTTTTTTTTTTTTTAATACTTAGATAATGAAACTGCTGTTTATACATTAATGCCAATGGTAATGGCTGATCAACACAGGTGAGTGCCTATTTCAGAAATTTATATTTTTTAAGAATATGCATTTACTTAAATGTTGCATATATAAACATGGACACAGAGTTTGGACATTTTGACCTGGGGCAAGTTATTTAACTCTGCTATAATTTGCTGTCTGTGAAATAAGAAACAAGATTTTCCAAGTTCTTTATCAACTATAATCATCTATGGTTAGAGATTTTCTTTAATTTTTAAAAAACTTACATATTTTATTGAAGTATAGTTGATTTACAGTGTTGTGAAGAGATTTTCTAAATGAATAGTCAGAAGTTAAAATAACTATTTGCTCGGTTACTGACAGTGGAAAATATGGTTTCTGTTAGAGGTTACTTTACTACTGACCTTTGTAGCAGTAAGTTAGGCCTGATGGACAACTTATTCCTTAACATTTTACTATTTTGAAGTTCTTTTCTTTAAATATTCTTTTTATTAATGTAGTATTGACCCTTTTTTTTTAAAGGGCTTGTGTGAGATACAGTTGTCTGGCTGTGTGATGACGGTGTGACTTGTAACAGACAACTCTGCTGTGGTTAGCCATTGGGTAGTTTGGTATTATGAGGAGAAAGAGACACTGTATTTTGAAACAAGTTTAAAATATAAATGATTCTTTTTTTTTTTTTTTTTGCTTTGAAATTCCTGTCTGATATAATTAAGATGTTTGTCTGATTTTTCTTATTTGGCCAAAATTAATATAGATAGGCTCAACTTTCTGCAAAGGGAGCAGCCAGCCCAGCTGTCTTTGTTTCTCAAGAATCTAGTGGGAGCTGAAGCCAACTTAGGTGTTCTCAGAGCAGGTGACATAGTCAGAGCGGCAGATGAGGAGCCCGTCAGCACCAGTTTATAGGTGAGGGCAGTTGAATTTTGGATGATGCTGCACTGGCTGCTGTGCTCTGCTTAGAGAGTAGTGCCTTGTTTTTTGGCTGATGTGAGACAAAACCTTTTGAATAGTTGGTAAGGGTAACCCTAAAGAGCTATTAACTTGAGTTATTATGTTTTTAAAAACTTTTTTTTTAAACATTGACTCTTTTTGCTTAGGTCTGTTTCTGAACTACTATCAAATTCAAAGTTTGATGTCAATTATGCATTTGGACGTGTGAAAAGAAGCTTGCTTCACATTGCAGCAAAGTAAGACTAAATATTTTGGATTAAGCTATGCTCTAAAGTAATGATCAGTAAGCTTTGAAGCAATGTGATTCCATAGTAGTTATGGAGAGAGATGAGAACAGATAGCTGAGTGGTTCTTTGTCTTATTGAGGCCATAGTGTGCCACACTTGCATCCTTTCTCTAGATAGTTTTTTAATTTTGGGATTGGACTCAAGTCGTATCTGATGTTTTTGCTTGTCCTAGATCAGATTAGAGGAGGTTTAGGCATGGCATTTATCTTTCCTGGATAACTTAAGAGGGTACATTCATCAAAATTTTACTTTTATCCCACCAGTGTAAGATTTTATATGCTAATTGCATGTAAAGTTGTTGGCTTTATACTTTTTTCTTAGGTGTGAGAATGATTTTTATTCATAATGTTCCAGTGTGTAATTAATCAGTTTGTTGATATCACCTTTTAAGATTTAGGTAGTGCTAACTCTCCCTAAATAAAATTGATTTTTCAATATAAATTTGGCTTCTGGAAGGCCAAAAGTTGAGAGTATTATATGGTTTCTTTTATGTGCTAATGCTACTTTATTTTGTTTCATATGAACCTCCCAAATACTTCATAGATTTCGTAGTAGAATGTGCCATCTTGAAAGTAGAGGTTATTTACTCCTTGTGACAGGAGTTAAATAGTAGGTCAATATGGACCCCCAAAATAATGTGTTTAATAGAGCTTTTTATTTTTTAATTAAGCTTTGTCAACTATGGCTGTAGATTAAATGCATCTGAACTGTTTTTAATATTATTTTAGTTGTGGATCAGTGGAATGCTTGGTTCTGCTTTTAAAGAAAGGAGCAAATCCTAACTATCAAGATATTTCGGGCTGTACTCCTCTTCATTTGGCAGCTAGAAATGGGTAAATATTTTTTCTTGAGTAGCTTAAGTTGGATTATCAGTTATGACATAGGAAAGCACTCTACCTTCATTTGGTAATTTTTTTCCCCCAATATTTGCCTTGGGAAGAGGGTCTTGGGTTATTATGTTATCCTTTTAAATAACTATAATAATATCAATAATTTATTAAGTTGTTCACTAATGTTTTTCTTCTTAAATATATGTTTATCAGAGTTTATTTTTACTTATAATGACATTTTTTGAAAAACATAATTTTCACCTCTTTGTTTCAGTGTCCTTTTTCCTGCTAGTCTTTTGCCACGTCTGACTCCATGACTTATTTTCCAAATTGTTTAATTTTATTAATGCAATTAAAGACAGACTAAATATATTTTACCTAGTTTTATAATTATTTGTGAATGAGCGTACTAACTCATTGTGTGCTATTTTAAACCCTACTGTACTTTTTATGAATTTCTCCTTTTTTGTTGAGAATTTCACAGTCACATCTGTTTCTGCCTCTACAATATTTTTCACTTCTTAAAATTCTCTTGGACTGAGAAACTGGACCAAAATGGTTGGAATTATGTTTACAATGAAAATAAGTAGTTTTTCATTCAGAGCTTAAGGAACTTTCAGAAAACTTCTCTTTGAAAAATATTTCCATGTGTTTATTCTTTTGATTACGCTGGAAAGTATTTTTGTTGCCTGTTTTGAACTGAAATTCTGGGTAGTTAAGGTGGCTGCGTAAGTGAGATAGATATGGGGCTAAAATTGTCCACTTTATCAATGTGAAACCAAATTTTTTCAGACAAGGATTAAAGTGGAACCAGTAAAATAAGAATGATAGTGATATCTAGGTTGGACATGGGAGAGGCGAGTCTTTGACCCTGTCTGGTCTGTTCCATTTCCTGATTTAGCATGTGAACCAGTTTAGTTGTCCATGTTGTAAAAGACAGCATGCTGGTTAAACAATTGGTTTTTATCATAATTGGCCACATTAGACATGTTGTGGGGTGTCAAAGCCAAGGTTAGAGTAAACAGAGTAAATATAGAGCATTGGAGTTGGAGAGAATCGGACACGACTGAGTGACTGAATGACAGCAAGAGTAAATCACTGGTTCTTTTGCTGCACTGATCTCAGGTCTAGATCCATTATCCCATGTGTTGGTAGGTTAGTGACAAAGCCCTTTTTAGAAGTTACATATAAAAAATTGTCTCAACAACTGTAAATGGAAGGACAGGTTGGTGCACAGCAGGGATAAAACACCTGCTCCTGCTGTAGTAGGGGACTTTGTCATTTAGGAAACCATTGCTTCCCGACCCCCCCCCCCCCCGCTTTGTTGAAGTATAATCGGCAAATAAAATTATAAATATAGTTATAGTGTATATCATGATTTTATCTATACATTGTGAAGGGATTTCTCTCATCCATCACCTCAAATATTTATCTTTCTTTTTTTGGTGAGACATTCAATTTGGAGACCATTACATTTTAAAGATGAAAACATATGACATATTATTTCATAATTCATATGGCAAATCAGTCAAGAGAAAAGGAATAAGAAGAGTCTATAACCCTTACATAGCATCTAACTTGGATGCATTTCATTCCTATAAAGATTACTTTTGATATTCAGTACATAACTATTTTGTTTTTTATTTACTAAATGGGTGCCTTGTACAGCTTAGGGGCACCTTGTTCAACTTAAAAGCTACTTGTTCCTATAGCTTTTGATGGTTTCAGAAAACGTTTTTTGGTGTGATTTCTCTACAAGTTCAAGTTTGTCTAGACTGAAGCAGAAGTCATAGGTGAATTCTGCCCCTTTGGCTGGTCCATCTGATTTGTGGAATTTTTTTGTTTTGTTCCCTTATCTGTCATTATCAGAAAGGTAGAATATTTCTCTTGGCCAGTTTTAGAGTTTCTATCTTCAGCCATCAGTGCTGGGTACTAAATTGCCTTCCTTTCTAGTGGAAGACCCCTTAAGTTGCCTCAGAGCACTTGGATGACTGGTCCCTCTGTCCTTCGGGTTACCATAAACTTATAATTGTTGCAGTATCCAGGCAGGAAAGTTGTTGCTTCCTGTACAATAGGATCCAGCATTGCTCATGATTGTATGAGAATTTTAAAAGAGAAGACTTAAAAATTATTGTGTATCTTTAGGTTGTGTATTGGTCAGTTTTGAAACATTTTTTCACTATTTTTTTGAGCTAGATTGTGGATCAGGCTAGGAGAAAACATTGTGAGCAAACTGACAGGCAGTTCAAAAGGCAGCAACATACTTTTGTAGATGTCTCCAAGTAAGATATACAGGTGTCCAGAACAAGAAAAGATGCTTAATATCCCTAATCAGGGAAATGCCAGTTAATATTTTAGCTCCAATGTAAGCGAAAGAGGTAAGCACTTAATGGGTCTTTTTGATTTACTCACGGTTATGGAAAATAGTAGTGATGATTGTTAAGTGAGAAAAAGGATGTATTTCTCTCATAGAGCCCTGTACCTTTTGCAGTTCATTTTGGGAGGGCGAGCATTATGTTTTGCTGCTTCTCTTCAACAAACCTCTGCCCTAAACACTTCTTTGGAACCCTTTCCCTGGTACAGTTCTACCTAAGTGTTTATTTTGACAATAGGCCAGTGGTCTACATCAGGCTTCTGAATAGATTTTAGAAGTCCCACATTATGGGTGCCATCACACACACACACAGGCATAATTTAAACAATGTAAAATTAATTTTAATAGGATTTTGTGGTCTGCTGCCTCAGTTATGAAGATTTATTTCCTAAGATTTTCATAACTGTATTTGATGAAGAAAATTTGTAAACGTTTAAACTTTTAAGTTTACTGAGAGCTTTACTTTCTTCCATTTCTTTGATTAAAGTGCTGATTTTAGTTGAATTTAACTTCATTTTAGAAAGAGTCATAGCAGGAAAAGTAATTTGTTTTCTTTTAAAAGGTTTATTCAGTTAATAGCAATTATAACTATTATATATACAGAGGATGAGATGGTTGAATGGCATCGCCGGCTTGATGGACATGAGTTTGATCAAGCTCCGGGAGTTGGTGATGGACAGTGAAGCCTGGTATGCTGCAGTCCATGGGGTCACAGATTGGACATGACTGAATGACTGAACTGATAGCTTATTATAAGATTGAATAATTAGTAATTAGTTAGCTATGTTTAGTACTGAGTTGATTAAAGAAATGTGATAGGGTATGAAGAAATTTATTATTAGAATAAATAGTTACTATATTACATGTATTATGTATATTCTCTATATACTATATATTATTATATATGTATAACATATTTGCAAAGGGTTCCTGGACCCAATTCCAGTGTGTGTATGTGGAGGGGGCCAGTTGTAGGCTTCATCAAACCAACAGGCAAGTCTCAAATGACAGCAGTTTCCTAAAAGTCAGATCATATCTAACACTGTGATGTACCTTCAGGTAGAAGCAGATTCTGCTGGTCAAGGGCTCAGTCCTATAGACCACCCTCCACTTCAGATGCCAGTTGCGAGGTCAGTTTCAAGTAGTTCTCTGACTGACCGGCTACAGATTGGAGGTTCTGCCATCCCCTTCCCACTCAGGACTCCTGTCGAGAGTGCGGGTCATAACTAGCACTTTGACCAGCCGGCTAGGAATCAGAGTTTCCTGCGATCCCTTTCTTGGGCTTGATTAATCTGCTAGAAGGGCTCATTGAACTCAGGAGAATTTCTTTGTTTACTTACTAGAGTACTGATTTTTTTTTTTTTATAAGAGAGTATTAAAGGATATGAGTCAGTAACCAAATGAAGAGATAGACACACGGGTGAGTCCTGAACAAAGAGATTTGGGCATGGTCGCAGGTAGAAGCATTTTGGTTCCCCTCCATGAAAGCTCTTCCTGAAAGGGACAAAAAATTGTCCTTTTGGGTCTTTGTAGACATCATTACATAGTCATTATTGACTTAAATCATTGGCTGTTAGCAGCTGATTCAACCTCTGGTTGCTATCCCCTCCCTGGAAATAGGAGTGGGACTGAAAGTGCCCTCTAATATGTGGTTGATTCTCCTGGCAACCAGCCCCCACCATTGGGTGGGACCCAAAAGTCACCTTCCCTGAAAGTTTTCAGGAAAAGAGGCCCATTGCTTTGAATTGTTTAGGGTTTAGAACTGTGAGCCAAGAAGTGTGGATTAAGACCAAATAAATATACAAATATATATAAATATATATTCTTACTGTAAATCACAGTATCTCAGTATTCACATTAATACTATATGTACTATATATAGTGTGTGTGTGTATCACTTTGTTTACAAAGCATGAGTTTTCATTTAATTATTAATGAAGGAGAAATTGAGATAAACACTAAAGAGTGAGGAAGAATGGATCAGGCTAGGAGAAAACATTGTGAGCAAACTGACAGGCAGTTCAAAAGGCAGCAACATACTTTTGTAGATGTCTCCAAGTAAGATATACAGGTGTCCAGAACAAGAAAAGATGCTTAATATCCCTAATCAGGGAAATGCCAGTTAAAACTACCATGAGACACCAACTCAGATTCATTAGTATGGCTGTCAAAAAAAACCATGACAAGTGTTGATGAGGGTGTGGAGAAATTGGACCCATGTGCTCTGTTGGTGGGAAAGGGAAATGGTACAGATGCTCTGGAAACTAGTTCATTGCTTCCTCAAAAATAAAAATAGAATTATACTATGATCCAGCAATTCCACTTCTGGGTATATATCCCCCAAAATTTCATGCAGAGTCTTGCAGAAATATTTGTATACTTGAATTCATAGCAATATTATTCATAATAGCTAAAATAAAGGAACCTAAGCATCCATTTGCACATGAATGGATAAACTAAATGAGGTATATACATACAGTGGAATATTATTCAGCCTTACGTAAGTGCTAAGTCGCCTCAGCTGAGTTCGACTCTGAGTGACTCTCTGGATTGTAGCCCGCCAGGCTCCTCTGTCCATCGGATTCTCCAGGCAAGAATACTGGAGTGGGTTGCCATGCCCTTCTCTAGGGGATCTTCCCAACCCAAGAATTGAACCCGCGTTTCTTCTGTCTGCTGCATTGGCAGGCAGGTTCTTTACTATTAGCACCACCTGGGAAGCCCCTTAAAAGGTAGGAAATTCTGTATCCATGCTGTGTGCTGCAACATGGATGAACCTTGAGGAGATTACACTAAGTGAAATAAGCCAGTCACAAAAAGACAAACTGTATGATTCCACTTCTGTGAGACATTTAGATAAGGGCAAACTGTAGAGATAAAGTGTAGAATAGTGGTTGCCAGGAACTAGCAGGAGAGGGAATGGAGAGTTAACTATTTAATGGATGCAGAGTTTCAGAAAGCTGATAAATGTTCTTGAGATGGATGGTGATGGTGGTTGCACAACAGTATGAATATACTTAATATTGCTGATCAAGTGATCAAATGTTAGTTGCTCAGTCGTATTTGACTCTTTGTGGCCCCATGGACTGTAGCCTGCCAAGCTTCTCTGTCCATAGAATTCTCCAGGCAAGAATACTGGAGTGGCATTATCAGAGAAATGCAAATCAAAACCACAGTGAGGTACCATTACACGCCAGTCAGGATGGCTGCTATCCAAAAGTCTACAAGCAATAAATGCTGGAGAGGGTGTGAAAAAAAGGGAACCCTCTTACACTGTTGGTGGGAATGCAAATTAGTACAGCCACTATGGAAAACAGTGTGGAGATTTCTTAAAAAGCTGGAAATAGAACTGCCATATGACCCAGCAATCCCACTTCTGGGCATACACACCGAGGAAACCAGATCTGAAAGAGACACATGCACCCCAGTGTTCATCGCAGCACTGTTTATAATAGCCAGGACATGGAAGCAACCTAGATGCCCATCAGCAGACGAATGGATGAGGAAGCTGTGGTACATATACACCATGGAATATTACTCAGCCATTAAAAAGAATTCATTTGAATCAGTTCTAATGAGATGGATAAAACTGGAGCCCATTATACAGAGCGAAGTAAGCCAGAAAGATAAAGACCATTACAGTATACTAACACATATATATGGAATTTAGAAAGATGGTAATGATAACCCTATATGCAAAACAGAAAAAGAGACTCAGATGTATAGAACAGACTTTTGGACTCTGTGGGAGAAGGCGAGGGTGGGATGTTTCAAGAGAACAGCATTGAAACATGTATATTATCTAGGGTGAAACAGATCACCAGCCCAGGTTGGGTGCATGAGACAAGTGCTCGGGCCTGGTGCACTGGGAAGACCCAGAGGGATCGGGTAGAGAGGGAGGTGGGAGGGGGGACCGGGATGGGGAATACATGTCAATCCATGGCTAATTCATTTCAATGTATGACAAAAACCACTGCAATGTAAAAAAAAATAAAAAAAAAAAAAGAGAAAAAAAAAAAAACAAAAAAAGAATACTGGAGTGGGTAGTCATTCCTTTCTCCAGGGCATCTTCCTGACCCAGGGATTGAACCCAGACCTCCTGCATTGCAGGCAGATTCTTTACTGTTTGAGGCAGCAGAGAACCCTAATACTTTACACTTAAAAATGGTTAAGATGATAAATTTACGTTATGTGTATTTTACTACAGTAAAAAAGCTGAAAAAAAATTAAGTGGGTAAGGGGATGAATAGATAGCCATTTTATTAATTTGTTATTTTTTACAACTCATCTTATTTTAAATATGATACAATTAAGAATATAGGATACAGCATTCATTGAGACATCATTTTACTCTGTCCATTCTGCTTCCATTAGACTTATGAATGCCTTAGATTTTTAATGAAGATTACTATTTCAAATTTTCTGTCAGCACTAGAAATTTCATAGCATTTTGAATGATGAATTTGTCCCAATGGCATTAAAACCTCATTGTGCCTTTTTAAAATCCTATTATCTTTGAATCATAGAAACAATATTGTTTCCTATGCTACATTTATTTATTGAAATATTTATTTAAATATTGCAGATACAGGTTATTTGCTATCAATATTGAGTGTAGTTAATATTTCAGTAAAATAATTTTCATTTGTTTATTTTTCTAGTAACAGTTGTCTTTACTGTCTCTTTTTCTTTTCAGGCAAAAGAAATGCATGAGTAAATTATTAGAATACAGTGCTGATGTCAACATTTGTAATAATGAAGGTCTTACTGCAGTAAGTGCTAAGAGTTTTTGTCTGAGATTTTAGAAATACTTTTAGAAAATATCAAAAGTAATAGTAATGCAAAGTGTAGTACAAATATTTCTGCAGTTATTTCTTTGTGGTAATTGGGAAGATACAGAATGATTTCACAGAATGATTTCAGGTACACTTCTCGGCTAATTTATACATATTGATGTTAAGGGTGAAATGTTTATAATTGGTTTGTTCTGAACTCAGCAAAATTATAAAAGTGAGGCAATAAGAATGATGTGATCTTTGTTTGGTTATGTTGCCTATGCTGTCTCCCAACTACTGTCAAACAAAATTCATTGCCTCTAAGAGTCCTATGAGAAAAAAGCAGAGGAGCATCAGTAAGAAAAACTGAAGGCAGTGGGTGAGTTTCTTCACACAGGTGGCAGAGCCAGAGTGAAACATGTATCTTCCTATCCATCTCAGGAAATGGAAGTGCTAATGGGTACAGGGCTTCTTTGGGAGAAATGAAAATGTTCTAAAATTGATTGTAGTGATGATTGCCCAACTCTGTGAATATACTGAAACCCAGTAAGCTCTATGCTTTAAATAGATGAATTGTAAGGCCTGTGAATTATATGGCACTTTATGTCAAATAAATGTACATCTACTTTATGACACTCTTAGCCTGGAAAAAAAAAACATTCTCTTTGTTTTTCTTTAATTTCTTTTTTCTTTTGAACTTTTTGTTCTGTATTGGGGTGCAGCCAGTTAACAGGGCTTCCCAGGTGGCGCAGTGATCAAGAGTCCACCTGCCAGTGTGAGTGATGCAGGAGATCGGGTTTACTCCCCGGGTCGGGAAGATCCCCTCGAGTAGGGAATGGCAGCCCACTCCAGCATGCCTGAAAGATTCCATGGACAGAGGAGCCTGGGAGACTACAGTCCATGGGGCTGCAAAAAGTAGAACGTGACTGAGCAAGCGAGCACACACACACACGTAGACGGTTACCAACGCTGTGGTGGTTTCAGGTGGACAGCAGAGGGACGCAGCCGTATGTATACATGTGCCCTTTCTTCCCTCAACCTCCCTCCCACCCCTGCTGCCACATAGCACTGCGCAGAGTTCCAAGAGCTACACAGTAAGCCCCAAGGGCTATAAATATAGCATGTATACGTGACCATCTCAAACTCCCTAAGTATCCCTTCCCCTGGCAACCACAGGTTCGTTTTATAAGTCTGAGTCTCTTTCTGTTTTGTAAATAAGTTCATTTGTATCATTTCTTTCTTAGATTTCTTATATAAGGGATGTCATATGACATTTCTTTATCTGACTTACTTCACTCAGTATGACAGTCTCTGGGCCCATCCATGTTGCTATAGTGGCATTATTTCATTCCTTTTAATGGCTGGGTAATATTCCTTTGTATATATTTACCACATCTTCTTTATCCATTCCTCTGTCAGTGGACATTTAGGTTGCCTCCTCTCTTGGCTGTTGTAAACAGGGCTGCAGTGAACATTGGGATGCATGTATCCTTTCAGATCTTGTTTTTCTCTGGTTATATGCCCAGGAGTGGGATTGCAGGGTCTTGTGGTAGCTCTATTTTTTAGTTTTTGAAGAAACCTCCATACTCTTCTCCATAGTGGCTGTACCAATTTATATTCCTGCTAACAGTGTAGGTGGGTTCCTTTCTCTCCATACCCTCTCCAGCATTTATTGTTTGTGATTTTTTTGATGATAGTTAATAGTTTTGATTTGCAGTTCTCTAATAATTAGCAGTGTTGAACATCTTTTCATGTGATTATTGGCCATCTGTATGTCTTCGTTGGAGAAATCTCTATTTAGGTCTTCTGTGTTTTTTTTTTGGTGGGTTGTTTCTTTTGATGCTGTTAAATGTCATAAGCTGTTTGTAAATTTTGGAGACTAATCCCTTATCAGTCACAAATATTTGCAAATATATTCTCCCAATTTGTTGGCTGTCTTTTCATTTCTATTTTTGTTTCCTTTGTGCAAAAGCTTTTGAGTTTAAGTAGGCCCCATTTATTTATTCTTTATTTCCATTATTCTGGGAGGTAGATCAAAAAGATGTTGCTGTGATTTATGTCAGAGAGTGTTCTGCCTTTGTTTTCCTCTAGGAGTTTTATAGTGTCTGGTTTCACATCTCGGTCTTTAGTAACATTCTTTTGACCTTCCTCCTCAACTTCCAAATTTGTCACTCCACAGTCAACTTTTCTCAATTATTTTAATAGATTTAAAAATTTTGTTTCTCTAATTCTAAATAACATGCTAGTATTACTGCTTTTTGACTTTTCAGTTTTAGGCATCACCTATTGACTTTCTGGAATATAAAGTTAAGTGTTTCTTTTTTAGCCTTACCTCCTCTTATCCCATCATGTACAAGCACATTTCCCTCACACCCATCCAATAGAGCTATAATTTTTGTTAGGTCATTTTTCAGTGTTTTAATTTTTTGGCTAAATAAAAACTGTTCATAGTTAGGCCAAAAAGTTTACTATAGTTGCTTTTTGGGGGTCAGGGGATGCTGTGTTTTGTGGCATGTGGGTTGTTAATCCCATGACCAGGCATCATACCCATGTCCCCTGCACTGGGAGTGCAGAGTCTTAACCATTGGACTGCCAGGGAAGTCCCTGTAGTTGCTTTTCTTTCTCTCATAGCATTTTGTTTTTCATGTGATTAATAATTGTATTTTCAAAAATGAGATACTTGTAGATTCATACGCAGCTGTAAGAAATAATACAAAGAAATCCTCTGTATATTTTGCACAGTTTTCCTCAATGCTAACATTTTATAAAACCATAGTATAATGTTATGACCAGGATATTGACAGTGATACAAGTTATGTTATTTAGATTTCTGCAGTTTAACTTGTATCCACTTTTACCTGTTTATGTATGTATGTTAAGTTTTAGACAGATTTACTACCTTTATAGCTCTATGTGTCCACTACCGCAGTCAATATTCTTAGTATTTCCAACTCCAAAAAGATGTTTTTTGTTTTCTTTTATAACAACACGTTTCTTTTCCTTCATCCCATGCCTAACCCTGGCAACCAGTAATCTGTTTTTCATTTCTAAAATTTTGTCATTTCAAGACTATAATATAAATGGAATCATACTAGGAATGGGCTTTTGTGTGCTCATCATATTCCATGGGATGGATCTTGGTTGTGTGTATTAATAATTCATTCCTCTACACTGCTGACTAGTATTTCTTGGTGTAGATGTACCACTGATGGTTTAACCATTCACCTGTTGAAAGACATCTGGGTTGTTTCCTGTTTGGGCCTATTGTGAATAAAGCTGCCATGAACATAGTGTACAGGTTTTTGTGCGAACATAAAGGTTTCATGTTTTAGGGAGTAAAATGCCCAGGAATACAGTTGCTGGGTTGTATGGTAGTTTCATGTTTAGTTTTAAAATTTGCACTGGAAAGCTTTTCCAGGCTCACTGCATCATCTTATACTCCCATCTGCAACATATGAATGATGTAGTTTTCTGTCATTCTCGCCAGCATTTGGTGTTGTCACTGTATTTTATTTTAGTCATCTTGATAAGTATGTATGTAGTGATGATTTCATTGTGGTTTTAATTCGTGTTTACGTAATTGCCAATGTTGAACAGCTTTTCATGTGTTTTATTTGACATCTATATATCCTGTTTTGTGAAATGAGTTCAAGTCATTTGCCCATTTTCTGTTTGGTTTTTTTTTAATTGAATTGTTAGAATTCTTTGTATTTTGGAGATACCAAACCTTTGTCAGGTATGTGACTTGCAAATATTTTCTCCCAGTCTTTACTTCGCCTTTTAAAACTCTTAACTGGGTCTTTTGTAGTATGAAAGTTTTAAATTTTGATTAAGTTTAGTATATCAGTTTTTTACGTTTATGGACTGTATTTTTGGTGTCAAGTTTAGGAACTCTTTACCTTGCTGAAGAGCCCGAAGATTTTCTCTTACCTTTTTCAAAAAGTTTTATAATTTTCCATTTTATATCTAAGCCTATGATCTGATTTAAGCTAGTATTTGTCTGTGATGCTTAAGTCAAGGCTCATTTTTTTTACCTATGGATTCCAGTTACTCTCTCACTATTTGTTGTAAAGACTATATACTTCCTGTGTGAAATTAGCTTTGTATCTCTCTCAAAAATGTTTTAGGCATACCCGTATGGGGTTATATCTGGGTCCTCAGTACTGTTCCAGTGATCTGTGTGCATTTGCCATTATCACACTGTCTTGATTACTCTAGCTATATAGTAAGCCTTAATATCAGGTAGAGTAATTCCTCCCACTTCATTTTTGTCAGATTGTGTTAGCTACTTTGGTTCTTTCACCCATCTGTATAAATTTTAGAATAAACTTATCTATGATGAAAAACCCTGCTGAGGTTTTTTTTTTAATTGGAATTGCATTAAGCCTATAGATCAATTTGGGGAGAATTGACATCTTTACTATGTTGAGTCTTCCAATCTGTAAACACAGTATGTCTCTCTGTTTATTTAAATCTTTGATTTCTTTCATTAGAATTTTATGTTGCTCAGCGTACAGATCTTGTGCAAGTTTTAAGTGTATAGCTAGATATTTTATTTTCTTTGTAGCAATTGTAAATAACATTATTTTTAATTTTGATTTCTGCATGTTCATTGATAGTACATAGAGATACAATTGCTTTTTTGTGTTGATCACATATCTTGTGACCTTGCTGAACTCACTTGATTAATTCAGGAGTTTCTGGTAGACTCCTTAGGATTTTCTACATAGATAATCATATCATCTGCAAATTAAGATAATTATGGCTTTTCCTTTTCAATACATATGTCTTTTCTGTTACTCCCTTCATTGCAGCTCAAAATTTTGTTTTCTAAATGTGTATTGTCAATTCATTACTAGAGTTTCCCTGAACTTTGTAAATATCCTCATAACATATGTTTACTACCTTTCATCTTGAATAGTTTTGAGGGAGTCTCTTATGGAGACTGCTGTTAGATTTAAGTCATAATGGTTGATTTCTTGGCTTCTTGTACAGTGTTATTTGGAATCTCTGCACCATCATCCTGGAGATGCCTTTGCCTTTCTCTTGTTTTGGGTTTTTATTTATATACTTACCTTGGAGATACTGCAGGTTCTGTTCCTGACCATGTTAATAAAATGAATGCTGCAGTAAAGTGAGTCACACAGATCTTTTGGTTTCCTAGTTTATATAAAAGTTATGTGTAACTAAGAGACACTGCAGGGTGCTTGCCACCTCTTCTTGAGCTTTTGGGGAGTTCTGTGATCTCAAGTTTCCTTCTTAGTGTTCTCTCTTACTGGTTTAGGGGTCATCTTTCTGTTCTGACAAAACAGACAAAAGCTTCCAGAATGTGTTGCTATTGTACTCTCTCCTGTTCTTTATCTTAATGTGCATATTCATTTGCTCAGTAGTGTCTGACTCTTTGCAATCCCTTGGACTGTTGCCTGGGAGGCTGCTCTGTCCATGGGATTTTCCCAGCAAGAATACTAGAGTGGGTTGCCATTTCCTCCTCCATTATCTTAATAGATCTGTTGTTTAAGAAAAAGTACCCTTTACTGACATTTCAGAGGTTTGGGAAGAAGTAGGAGCTGGTACTTGGGTTCAAAGCTACCATTTGGAAATAAGTTGCATGATATATTTTTTTAATGGAAAAAAGGCAGATGAAAAATGCGTGGACAGGATAGACCAAAAGTTATAGCATTATCTTTGAGTTGTAGATTTCTAGGTGTTTTATATTTTTTATCTTCCCCATGTATGTTACTTATGTTTTATGCATTACCTGTAAAATATAGGAAATAAAGAATATGACCCCTACTGTGTTGATTACTTTTTGACTTACGTTTGTTTCTGGGGAAGGGAAAACATTCAGTACCTCTTCTCTAGAGATAAGCTATACATACAGTCCATGGTCATCTAAGAAGCAGAGTATTAGTGATCCTCAGTTTAGGATTTTTAATTACTTTGAACATTGAAATGCTTGATTTCGAAGTACATGACTGTGTAACCTACATCGTGATAACATATTTTCCCCCATTTAAAATATAGGAAAAAATTATATTGGCTTAAATTTTAATCTTTGGTATGCATGTAGTGCTCACAGTTGAGAAATAATTGAATTATTTATTTGCTGTTTTTATATGAAATACTCCTGCATAAATGTTAAGTAACTAAATGGCTGTACAGATACACTGGCTGGCTGTGAATGGGCGGACAGAACTACTCCATGACCTTGTTCAACACGTCAGTGACGTCGATGTTGAGGATGCCATGGGGCAGACAGCGCTGCATGTGGCCTGCCAGAATGGTCACAAGACGGTAAATTAAGCCTCAAGGACTTTTAAGTTGCATGTGTGTGTTTTTTTTTTTTAAACTTCGAATTCATGAGAAGTTTTTCACTGTGCATAATTGGAAACATAAAGCAAAATCTTAAAACATTTTCTGCATCATGTGCACTTCTGATTAGTATATTCTGTGTGGGTAAAAGGAACAGAAAATAGTGCTTTTAAATATGTCTAATGTAATTTGGACTTCAATTTTATTTTTGATTCATAGATTTATTAGCTGTATGTTTTAAATTAAGTTTATAATGTTTATTCTGTTCTCGGTTTTATCAAACAACGTTTTCATATTTTTTTTGTTAATCATTTTCATATTTTTACCATTAAGCCTCAAGTTTTGGAATTAGACCATGAAGAGAGTAAGCTCCAACTTTGCTTAAATAGTTCAACTTGGGTTATCATATTTTTTTACTCCCTTGGCATATAAGTACTATATAAGTACTAGAATCACAGCTATTTTCTTTCTTACTGTTGATTTCTAAAATCATGCATTTGTTTTATGGCAGAACTTTACTGTTATCCCTATGTATAAACATTGGCTTTTAAAATTGCTAATAGTTTTCTTTCTCATTAGGAGACTGCTACCTTATTTAAAGATTGTTAGCTTAAGATTTTAGATTGACTTTCTGCTTTTTATAATTTCATATCCTGGTTACTTTCAGTTTTTTCCCACATTTAACATTATGGATAATAGAATATTATTTATTTGCTAACTAAAATAAAAAACCAACTGAAAACAATAAAACACCATTGGAATCTACAAAGATAAAAAGTTTATGTTTATTATTTTGTACACATTCTGAGTCTAATGTTTTTGTTGGGAGAATTCTTGGTGGAATCTGGATTTCTGTCTTTGTGAACACTTTTTTCCTAACATGGGTTCAGGATGTTGGCTCCTGCATACCAAGATGCTTTATGTATGACCTCAATTCACAAAATATTGAACTTCTTTAAGGTAGTGAGCTCAAAGTTGACATTGTCATATGTTTAATAAGAGTTGGATAAAAGAGAGATATGAATATTTTTTTCTTTCCTGGCATTTCTTCTGAACACTAGTGTTCATTGTTATTCTTTGTCTTTTATCATCTGAAAACTTATTCAGTGTTTTCAGGATTATTCCTTTTCTTTACTTTTTACTTTCTGCAAGTCAGTATTACTAAATTTAAGACGTATTCTGAGTGGGGAAAAAAATCATCTACAATGTTCTAATCTTGACAGGCCCCAGTAAGCAATTGTTGCCTGTTAGAGTCCTGCTGGTAGCTCTTACTCAACAGAAGAGTACCTGCTTTAATGTTAAACACTCTGCTGAAACAAATGAGTGGCATATCATTTACTGAGATTTTAAGCTATATCTGTTGCCCAGTGACTTGTGTAGTAAAAAACTAAATTCAGATTAGGAATTATCTACAAAAGCTAATTTTAGGTTCTTTGAGCCAGTGAAGAAGCAAAAATTACCCAGAAAACCTTGGTTCAAAACATGTGCATTACAGGGTGCACTGAAAATTTAGAATTGCCTACTGAAGTTATTGAAGAGTAGTTAGCATAAGTATAATACACTCCATATGGTTTACAACCTAAAGCAGGTGTGGTAAAGTAAGGGAGAATTGCTCATAGTCAGATGGCCTTTGAAGAACTGTATTTTCAGATTTATAGGTGGCTTGACTTCATGGTGGTGATGGGTTTCACAGGGTGAGATTTTGCAGATATAGTATAGGAGGACGAGTATAAAAAGCCACATTGACTTGTGGTTGATTGTATTAGTGAGTGAGGTTCCTTTCTTACATATTTGGTCCATTATAGTTACCTGCGAGGATCATACACAGAGGGAATGTTTAGCACTATTTTCCGATTCATTGTGTATATTTTTAATCCTTCAATTAGGGCAAGAAAGAATCTTGAAAAATTAGTCCATTTCCTAGCCTCCAGACGGAATTCCACCTCTAAAAATCTGTGTTGATAGTTGTGTTAATATTACCTATTGTCATAATGTATTTGTGGGACCTGTTCAAATCTCAGTGGATGAGCATATTCTTTTATCTTAAGTTGAATCTGATTTAAGGGTTCTGAGATGTAAGTTATTATAGGGTGTAGGGATTATTGATTTTGTTTTTAACTGCATATCTTTCCATAAGTTGGACAAAGTCTAAAATGCTTTGTCAGGTATCAGCAAATGAAAATGGCCTTTGTGTTGTCTCAAAGTAGTTAACTTTTGCATAAATTCATTAAAAGATTTCACAACTCATGTTCATGTAGACATATACCAGTCCACACAGGTTTTAAGATTCTATTTTTAAGTTGAGAATCAATACTATATGTTGATGATATACTTTATGGGGCTTCCCGGAAGGCTTAGGGGTAGAGAATTCACTTACAGTGCAGGAGCCACAGGAGACGTGGGTTGGATCCCTGGGTCGGGAAGATCCCCTGGAGTAGCAAATGCAACCCACTCCAGTATTCTTGCCTGGAAAATTCCGTGGACAGAGGAGCCTGGTGGACTGCAGTGCATGAGTCGCAAAGAGTCGGACAGGACTGAGCATACACACATCTTTTATAGAATAAAATGTAAAACTTCAGAGAGAGGGGAAGAAACTCCATTAAAAATATTTTTAAATGCATATCAGCTCTTTTCAAATTAAAGAGGATGATATGATAAAGAGATGCTCTGAAATTTACCTTTTAATCTCATTTTAGGGAAAATCTGAAGAAAGCATGAAAAGATTTTGGACTGGCTAAGAGCTCTAAAGCTTTGTAGAACTTATAATTGAATACTGTATTCGTGCTTTGATGACGCATAAATTATAGATTTACATTACCTTTTTTTGCAGATAAAAGATTTGGAAGAAAGATTGATTTTGTCATAATTAAGAAATTGAGTAATTTTTGACATAATTTCATATAGATGCATCTGTTTTGTTAGAGGTAAATCAAGATAAAGAACTTTTCATTCTCTTGCTGGAAGGAAGTGGTTTGGTCAGTTGAAGAGTACAGTATGATCATTTTTGTCCTTGTGACATAATAGCATTATGATTTTAAACTACTTCAGTTCTGACTCTTGGACCCCCGGACTGCGCCAGGCTTCCCAGTCCTTCACTGTCTCCTGGAATTTGCTCAAATTCATGTCCATTGAGTCAGTGATGCCATCTAACCATCTCATCCTCTGCTCCCCTCTTTTCCTTTTGCCTTCGGTCTTACGCAGCATCAGGATCTTTTCCAATGAGTTGGCTTTTTTCATCAGGTGACCAAAGTATTGGAGCATCAGCTTTAGCATCAGTCCTTCCAGTGAATGTTCAGGATTGATTTCCTTGAGGATTGACTGGTTTCATCTCCTTCAGTCTAAGGGACTCTCAAGAATATTCTCCAGCACTGCAATTCAAAAGCATCAATTCTTGGGCACTCAGCCTTCTTTATGGTCCAACTCTCATATCCATACATGACCACTGGAAAAACCATAGCTTTGACTATATGGACCTTTGTCATCAAAGTGACATCTCTACTTTTAATATGCTGTCTAGGTTTGTCATGGCTCTTCTTCCAGGGAGCAAGTGTCTTTTAATTTCATGGCTGTAGTCAGCATCTGCATTGATTTTGGAGCCCAAGAAAAGAAAATCTGTCATTTCTTCCACTTTTTCCCTTTCTTTTTGCCATGAAGTGATGGGACCAGATGCCATGATCTTAGTTATTTGAATGTTGAGTTTAAGCCAGCTTTTTTGCTCTCCTTTTTCACCCTCATCAAAAAGCTCTTTAGTTCCTCTTTACTTTCTACCATTAGAATGGTATCATCTGCATATCTGAGATTGTTGATATTTTTCCCTGCTATCTTGATTCCAGCCTGTGATTCATCCAGCCCAACATATCGAATGATATACTCTGCATAGATGTTAAATAAGCAGGGTGGCAATATATAGCCTTGTCTTAACACCTTTCCCAATTTTGAATCAGTCTGTTGTTCCATGTCCGGTTCTGTTGCTTCTTTACCCGCATACAGGTTTCTCAGGAGACAGGTAAGGTGGTCTGATATTCCCATCTTTTTAAGAATTTTCCACAGTTAGCTGTGATCCACAAAGTCAAAGGCTTTAGTGTAGTCAATGAAGCAGAAATAGATGTTTTTCTGGAATTACCTTGCTTTCTCTATGATCCAACGGATGTTGGCAATTTGATCTCTGGTTTCTCTACCTTTTCTAAATCCAGTCTGTACATCTAGAAGTTCTCAGTTCATATACTGCTGAAGCCTAGCTTGAAAGATTTTGAACATTGCCTTACCAGCATGCGAAACATGCACTTGTCCAGTAGTTTGAGCATTCTTTGGGATTGCAATGAAAGCTGACCTCTTCCAGCCCTGTGGCTACTGCTGAGTTTCCAAATCTGCTGACACAGTGAGTACAGCACTTTCGCAGCAGCGTTTAGGATTCGAGATAGCTCTGCTGGGGCTCCATCCCCTCCACTCACCTTGTTTATAGCACTGCTTCACACTCCGGGGGTCTGCCTCTAGGTGAGTGACGACAGCATTGTGGTTGTCCTGATCGTTAAGACCTGTTTTGTACAGGTCTTCTCTGTATTCTTTCCACCTCTTCTGCTTCTGTTAGGTCCTTACTGTTTCTGTCCTTTATCCTGCCCATTCTTCATTCTTGCATGAAACGTTCCCTTTCTCCAGTTTTCTTGAAGAGATCTTTAGTCTTATCCATTCTACTGTTTTCCTCTATTTCTCAGCACTCTTCATTTAAGAAGGCCTTCTTAGCTCTCCTTGCTATACTCTGAAACTCTGCATTCAGTTTGGTATACCTTTCCCTTTCTTCCTAGCTTTTCACTTCTTTTCTTTCCTTGGTAAAGCCTCCTCAGACAACCATTTTGCCTTACATTTCTTTTTCTTTGGGATGATTTTGGTCACTGCCGCCTGTACGTTGTTCCAGTCCTCTGTTCATAGTTCTTTAGGCACTCTCTTTACCGGATGTAATCCCTTAAATCTATTTGTCATCTCCA